CACACAAACAAACAAACAAACAAACAAACACACGTTATTTACTGAACATACCTTCCTGGTCTTCACTGCTGTCTTTATTCTTAGGCGTTGTCTCTTCAAATCCCAGGCCGAACAGGTCAATGTCACTGTTGAGGGTCTTAAATGACGGGGCAGCAGGTTTGGGGGGCTCTGGGAGTCCAGCTAACACAAACCCATCATCCGACCGGTCAGATAAGTCATCTCGTGCAGAAAAAGTGCCCTACACAAAAACAGATGAAACATAAAATGAGACTGAGCGGGAATTATTTGGTGGCAGTGGCAAAGTACTTATTTAATATCTAAATGGTCTTTTGTGGGCTTTTCTTATAGAGTGCATTTATTAGATGGTTTATATTTATTTGAGAACAAAAAGCATAAAACATTTCCATTACTTGAAGTAAAACAATAGAAAACCACAAATAAAAAAATAACATAAAAACTGTATTTCAGCTATTTGCCAACTAAACATTTCTCATTTCTCAAGTAAATAAAAAAAAACTTTTTTTTTTTTTTTAAATAAAAAACTTTCTAGGATTAAAAAAACGAAAAAAAAAAAAACGAATTCAACATTAACAAAAATATACTAAAATTAGACTAATTGTGGAATAGCAGGCTGTGGCTTAAGATTTCATCAGTTGATTATTTAGTCATAAGCAACAATAATCAAGAACCTAGAAATTGTTTTCTACCTTCTTGATCTTGTGTCCGTCAAACTCTTCGTTCTTAAAATCAGGGTCGTCCATGACAAATGAAAGCATCTGCTGAGCGACTGGAGCCTCTTGGTCTGAATCGGAGTCGGCCTCAACAGCGCCTCCTGTCTTCAGTCGCTGCACTGCAGGTCCTGCTGGGGTTTTCAGGCTTTGGGGTCTCTCAGCTGGTTTAGACTTGGTTTGCAGCTGTTTGACAGAATTCACTGTAGATCTGGAATTGAAAGTCAGATTCCACAGAAAATGAGGAAACAATCTTGACTCCAAATAATTATTCATTAAATCAGAGATCTATCCATCTGTCTATCTATCCGTCCAGTCATATATCCATCTATCCCCCAATCATCCATCCATCCATCCATCTAGCTCTCTAGCTCTCTATCTATCTATCTATCTATCTATAGCTCTGTCATTCTATCTATCAATCTAGCTCTCTGTCATCTCTCTATCCATCTCTCCATTCCATCTATCCATCTCTCCATCCATCCATCCATCTCTCTATCTAACTATCTATAGCTCTGTCATTCTATCTATCAATCTAGCTCTCTGTCATCTCTCTAGCCATCTCTTCATCCATCTCTCTCTATATCTCTCTATCTATCTATGGAAATCACTTATTATATTGCCAAGGTAGCATTAATTGAAAAATAATATCAAGAAATGAAAATTGGCTATGCCTTTATTAAGAGTGATTTAATTAAAGTAAATTAGACAAGTCTCTCTGCTGATGGAATTATTTCTATTTCGGAAGCTCATCAACAGTGAGGGAAATTAATTAAAAACGTACAACAAATCTTCAGGAAAATGTGGTCAGGTCTCAACACGTCTGCATCTCACTGAAGTCTTTCTATTAAAAGAATAATGCATTTGATACATCTGCAGGTGGTTTCTTACCCCTTTGAGTTTGGGCCCGAGCCAATGCCTTTGTGCTGGGCAGCAGAGGGCAGAGATGAATCTTCCTCCTCTTCATCACTCGTGAGTGTGACGCCCATGCTCGGGACCGCCGCTTTAACGGCAGGCTGGGACAGCGCTCTGTCATCCGGATCTAAATCATCCTGGAAGCTGGAGACCAGAGGATTTCCCCGTCCCTCACCATCACTGAGGAAAAGACAGGAGAGCTCTCAGAAGCTTAACATGAGATCAAATTTAAACTCATTTACTTTCTCAATAAATGCCTCTTTTGCTGTGATCAATGCATCAGTCCTTCGTGTAAAATAAAAATGTTTGTATGCTTTTTTCATTGTTCCTCAAAATTCTCTACTTTCTTCATCGCTAAAAAAAAAAATAAAATAAAGAAAACTCATTCCGAGGCAGAAAAATCATGTTGATCTGAGCAAATGAAAAATCCCATCTGTAATCCTGTCCAGTATGATTATGAGCTGCTGAAATTTCTACAGTAATACTCAGACAAGCTGGAGGGATGATTTTTGCTTTTAGAAACAAACTGCATGTTATAACAGCTCACCTATCACTGTCCAGGATGGGAGCTGATGCTGGAGGTTTGTTCTTTGATTTAACTGCTGTTCCACCATCTTCCAGAAAGGTCCGTTCCATGCCCACCCCCGGCACAAAGTCATCCACACTCTTCACCTTTCCAGAGGGCTTCGGGTCTTCAGAGCCCATAGGTTCTGATGAAGATAAAAGACCAGAAAAGGGTTTAAAATGCTTTTCTAGCTTCATGGCAACAGGTCAACATTTGTACGTTTACACGTTTTAACAAAATGCATGTTTACTGAAATCATATTAATTGCGTTAAGTAATGGCAAGATGCACAAATTGTTACACACCTGCAAAGATCAGATATTTATACCATATTTACAACTAAAACATATTTGACCATTATAGTTTTTCATATTATTAAATTCTATTAAACTTTTATTACTAATTATTATTTAAAAAAAATGGTTAATACAAGTGTAACGTTATTAGGTTAGTCCGTCATTACACCTCAAGCATCAAAAGAAAAATATTTTATGAAACAGAATATATTTTTAAAATTGCATTAATATAAAATGCAAGAATGATATTACACAATTGCAAAGATTCAACATACTTGACCATTACGGAATTACAGAATTTTCCAGTTATAAAATTATATTATACATTTATTATTAATTATTCTAAAAAAAGGTTAATGTAAACAGAACATGATTTACTAAATCTGACAATACACCTCAGGCATAAAAAAAAAATAAATAAAAAAAAAAAATATGAGTAGACAAATTTTTCAAAAAACCATTCAGATATTCCGGCATTGTGTCACATTAATTTGATGACAATCAGGCTCATTTCCTCAACAAATTCTCATTAAAAATCTTATTTCATTAATGTAATACAGTAATAAAAATCAGCCTGATTATTTTGATGAAATAAAATAAGCAATACAACATTCAGTACAAGTAATTATTTTTAAATAATACTACAAACTCACAAAAAAAGTTAAATGTCCAGGGCTGCATTTCCCAAAAGCATCATACGCCAAAACTGATCTTAGCGCCATTGGTGGCAATGGGTCTACGATGTACTTAGTCTTACGATGCTTTTGGGAAATGCAGTCCAGTTTTGGTCCTAAAATTTCACCAAAACACATGAACCATAGTATGGAAATTAATATATGAATATATCTAAAACCTGGACCATCTGTGATGCTGAATGAATGATTAATGATAATTTATGTTATTGTGGCATCTTTAATGCCAGTTTAGACATATGTCAAATTTGATCCAGCATTCCCCAGAAAAAAAGGGAAATTTTATGAAAACAAACTAAATTAAGAAATCTAAATATTTGCATATGATGTTTTGAATATAAAATGATGATAGCCATTTGTCACACTTTCTGTTTCTATGTGTTGACAGGAAGTGCATTAGCGTCCTTCTGATTGGCCCCATCCCCCAGGATCTGCAATGCAGCAGCAGATGCACTGGTGCAGAGCTGTGCGTGTGTTTGTCAGTCCACCGGTTTCTGTAATGACTGTGCAGTGGTGGCTCCAGTGTTGCCTGATAATGTCTCATTGGTATTCAGTATATAAGGCAATGAACATAGTCCCTGGACGACAGCACCTTTTTACTACAGTTCATGAAGTCACACTAGCAAACCTACGCACGCACGCGCATGCACGCGCACACACACGCGCACACACACGCACACACACGCACACACACGCACACACACGCACAACGATTACGAAATGAGTTCAGGTCATTTTGGTCAGACCAAGAAGGTGACGTACGTACTTTTTTTTTTTTTTTACAAATAATTCAGCAGATTTTTAACTCTATTTCTACAAAATGAGGAATAAAGAATGTGAATGAGGTGTTTTTGCCTTTTCATGTTTTTATTAAATTTATCAAGGTGCTGTAAATCAAATTGTTATATATTCGTTATTAATCATAATTGTACAGTACTATTATATTTTGTCCAGTACATGCCACTGCAACTTTTCATTATTTGAAATAAAATAAACAGAAACCTAAATAAAAAAAGTTGCCAAGGCATAATTTCTCATTTTCATTTAGTTTAACTTGAAATACTAAAATAACTAAAATTTAAATAAAAAGCAATAACTTTGTACAAAACTTTAAAAACATGAATACAACTGATGAACACACACACAAAACAATTACTCAGTTAAAGTAAAATTAAAATGAAACAGTACATTTAAAAAAAAAAACTAAGTCAAAATATTACAGGGTTTCTGCAGGTTTTAAGGAAACGCACACACACGCACAACAAAAACTTACGATTACGAAATGAGTTCAGGTCATTTTGGTCAGACCAAGAAGGTGACGTACGTACTTTTTTTTTTTTTTTACAAATAATTCAGCAGATTTTTAACTCTATTTCTACAAAATGAGGAATAAAGAATGTGAATGAGGTGTTTTTGCCTTTTCATGTTTTTATTAAATTTATCAAGGTGCTGTAAATCAAATTGTTATATATTCGTTATTAATCATAATTGTACAGTACTATTATATTTTGTCCAGTACATGCCACTGCAACTTTTCATTATTTGAAATAAAATAAACAGAAACCTAAATAAAAAAAGTTGCCAAGGCATAATTTCTCATTTTCATTTAGTTTAACTTGAAATACTAAAATAACTAAAATTTAAATAAAAAGCAATAACTTTGTACAAAACTTTAAAAACATGAATACAACTGATGAACACACACACAAAACAATTACTCAGTTAAAGTAAAATTAAAATGAAACAGTACATTTAAAAAAAAAAACTAAGTCAAAATATTACAGGGTTTCTGCAGGTTTTAAGGAAGGTAATTTTAAGACTTTTTAAGACTAGGAATAAATTGAATGGAACATGATATGTCAATATGGTCTCTAACAGGGTTTTTTCCTGGGTCAAAAATGGTCGGTGGTGGGTCATCCACACACACAGTAAAAAGTACCCTACCCATGTGATCTGCGAGTCCAATACTTACAATTCATTTAAAATAAATGTAAAGAAACATTTATGTTTGTGATTTCTGCTCATCCTTTTTATTCATTAAATCAAAAAACCATCACTGTCAGGACAGATAATAAAACAAAGTGCTTACAACTATTTTACATGTAAACGTCACCATTACCAAAGTATCGTTAGAAAAGTAGCATTAAAAATTTAACTACATTTATTTAACTAATAGTCTAATTTTTTACAATATACAATTGAATAAAATTAGCAGCTAGTTAACAAAACTTGCTTTGTGCTTTGTTCTGGTTTCACCTCACTCCAGTCTAAATTATTTTGTAGGAAATTTACTACACATTGTCATATAAAGACCATGAAAATACTGTAGATTATTAAGGCTAAATCTTACTAACCACTCTTGCTAAATGGGGTAACACTTACGATCTAATTTCTGAGGTGTTCTGAGTAAATGATTTATACACCGATTCAGACAGTGATGTATCATGAGTTCAGTGTTGAACAGATCAGTTGTTTTAACCATTCAATAAAATGAATCGGTTCAAAGGAGTCATTAGAATCGGACATTAGCGGACGTTGACGCGCTCTGCTTTTTCTCTCCCTCAGTTAACATGCGTGCTTTCACACGTGCATAAATCACATTAACTGATCAAAAAAAGCTTTGGCGGGACAAAAAATCACTTTGGTGGCCGCCAAAAAAATTTAAATGCAGGAAAAAATCTGTTCTAAATGTAAATGTCTTGAATTGGCAACACTTCAAAGTCTGAAAACACAACCTCCAAAAGTTTATAATTCATTTGACAAAAAAGTCTGAAGATTCTTAAATCAAAATACATTTACTTGAGAAACAAAATGACAGGAGATCAATCTTGTTTTCTGAGAAATAAGTTTATGATTAAAACAAACAATTAGGTTTCAAGCACAAACTACTTAATTCTGTTCAATTTCACAGAAAACAAGATGTTATATCTTCAATTTGCATCTCAAGTAAATGTATAATGATTTAAGGATGTTTAGGTATTTGTACTGGAAAACTAAACTGAAAAACTGAGATGCAACATTTAATGCCATGACTTTATGAATTTAAGATTTTCCTCTCCAATTTCAGATCTTGATTTGTAGACGGGCGAATTAAGACCTGCAGAAACCCTTTATTAATAAAAACTATTATATCAACACTACTATAGTGGCACTGTTCTGTACTGACCTGGTTTGTCTGGTGACGCCTCTGCAGCGGACGATCCGAACAGGCGTGACATGAAGCCTCGTTTCTGGGCAGGAGGAGGTGTTTGTGATGGTGTCTGGGGTACATGGGCGGCTGTGGTCTGGGCGGGAGGGTGTGGTATAGATGGCGGTGGTGGAGGGGCAGACTGGGTCTGGAGCGGGACAGGGGCCTGTGGGGTACTGGGGCTGGAGTTACTGGGAGAGGCGGCACCGGGCAGCACCACAGGGGACTGGGAGCCTGAGGATGGGCTCTGGCCATTAGAGGGCGCTGGAGAGCCATAAGCTTAGTGACAACAAGAGCAATAACAAAGACAATAATAATTATTGTTTTATTTTATAAAATAATTAATAATAATAATGTAATTTTATTAATGAAAAAAGACTAAATATATTACTGTTGTAAATTATAATTAATCTGTAAAAAAAAAAAAATATATATATATATATATATTTAATACACCGGTATGTGATGATGTTTACACTAACATGTCATAGGTCTGGTCCTCGGTCTCCTGCTACTATAGTGGCACTGTTCTGTACTGACCTGGTTTGTCTGGTGACGCCTCTGCAGCGGACGATCCGAACAGGCGTGACATGAAGCCTCGTTTCTGGGCAGGAGGAGGTGTTTGTGATGGTGTCTGGGGTACATGGGCGGCTGTGGTCTGGGCGGGAGGGTGTGGTATAGATGGCGGTGGTGGAGGGGCAGACTGGGTCTGGAGCGGGACAGGGGCCTGTGGGGTACTGGGGCTGGAGTTACTGGGAGAGGCGGCACCGGGCAGCACCACAGGGGACTGGGAGCCTGAGGATGGGCTCTGGCCATTAGAGGGCGCTGGAGAGCCATAAGCTTTGCGTGCCTCCATCATCTCAAGAAATCTGGAAAAACAGCAGTGAAATTTTGAAAATTATGGTTGGATGACATTCTTGGCTTAATGGGTGGCTCTTTTTCCAAAATCTTTTTTAGCCAAATCCCTTATATGTCAAATTTATGTATAATTAATTATTATTATTAATAATAACAACAACACAATAAATACAATAATATAATAATAATTGTGTCATTGTTATTAATAGTGTGTGTG